AGCCTAAGGGCTATTAATTTTTCCCCTATGTTTTCTCCTCCACTCCTATTTTTATGTTAGGTTGCTTGGAATATTTGGGGTCTTAATGGCCCGTCAAAACGAGAGAGTGGTTAAGGATTGGATTGCTAAATATCGTATTAGCTTAGTAGGTCTTCTTGAGACCAAAGTTCGCTGCTAGCCGGATGAGGAGAGTTGAATCGGCTATAAATCCTTCATCCTGGCGGTTTCTTTCTAATGTGTCGGATGCGGTTAAATGTCGTATTCCGATTGGTTGGGACCCGTTGGTGTATAGCATTTGCTGTTTGCATTCTTCCTTGCGGTGGATGACTTGTGAGGTTTCTAGCTTGGTTGATCGGTCCTCTTTTGTCGTAACTTTTGTGTATGGTTTAAATACACCGGATAGTCGTCGGGACTTGTGGGATTATTTGAGGCTTCACTCTTACGCCTTTCAATCCGGGCCTTGGCTTGTCTTGGGAGACTTTAATGCTATTACGAGTTCTTCGGATAAGTATGGGGGTGACCCTTCTTGGTATGGACATATGGATGATTTTAGCAATTGTGTGCGTGCATCCGAGTTAATCGAGTTCCTTATTCGGGTTTGAGATTCTCCTGGCATAATAGTCGGCATGGCAGTGGCTCTATTCTAGAAAAGCTCGACTGGATTTTTGGTAACTCGAGTGGTTCTCATCATGGCCGACTACTCGCTCGGAATTTCTACCACGAGATTCATCCGATCATAGTGCTATGGTGGTTGATTTCGGTTCAGCTCCATCTAAGGTAAAAGCTTCATTTAAGTTTTTGAACTTTTGGGATCGACGGGGATGATTTTATGGGTTTAGTGGAGGAGGTTTGGCGGGTTCCGATGAATGGTAACCCGATGTTTAGGTTTACTCGGAGATTGGGGTTGCTCAAGTCTAAACTTAAGTCTTTCCATCGTCACCACACTAGTCATATCTCTAGTAGGGTGATGGAGGCAAAGGCTCGTTGAAGCTGCGGCTCGGGTTTTATTGGATGGTTCTCCTCATATAGATGAGTACTTGGTGTACGAGAGGGCGACTTGCTAAGGAATACTCCCGACTAAGTAAGGATGAGGAAGCTTTTTATAAGCGACGGTCTCGGATTCGGTGGCTTCGATTGGGTGATAGGAACACCAAGTTCTTCCATAGATCGGTTCTTCGTAGACGAGGTCGGGAACGGGATTCATGGCTCGAGCGATGAGTCGGGGATTCGGGTCCGTGATCGGCATGGTATGGGTCGGTTAGCGGTTCGATACTTTCGGGATGTGCTTTCTCCTCTCATTCGGCCTCCCTCCCGAGGATGCCTGCTAGGTACTTTTCTAGCGGCATTTCTCCCGATATGGTTTCCACTTTAGAGTCCGATATCACCGATGATGAGATCGAGGAGCCTTATTCTCCATCCCGGATGATAAGGCTCCGAGCCCCGATGGTTACACTTCTCGGTTTTTCAAGAAAAGTTGGGATATTATTGGCGGAGACTTCATTGCTGCTTGTAAGGTACTTCTTCGGTTCCTCTACTCTTCCTCGTTGTATTAATGCTACTAGGATTTCTCCGATTCCTAAGATTGAGAACCCTACCTCCATGAAAGACTTTAGGCCGATTGCATGCTTGTAATGTCATGTATAAATGCATCTCTAAAGTCATTGTGAGCGAAGTCGAAGATGATTCTACGATGTGATTGGTCCGACTCGAGCTGCTTTTATTCTGGTAGACGGATATCGGATGCTATTTTATCGACCCAGAGCTCATGCATAACTATCATCTACCTAGCTCTATGGCTAGATGTGCTTTGAAGGTAGACATCCGGAAAGCTTTCGACACGGTTAGGCTGGGAATTTATCATCTTGGGATTGAAATCTATTGGAGTGCCTAATTCCATGATTAAATGGATTGAGGTATGTATGTCTACGACTTTTTTCTCGGTGGCTATAAATGGAGAGCTCCACGGGTTTTTTCCATCATATAGAGGCCTTCGGCGGGGTGATCCATTGTCCCCCTATTTATTTGTCTTGGCCATGGAGGGTACGGGAGGAATGCTTAGAGAGGCTTCGCGGAGTCCAAGATTTCGGTTCCATTGGAGGTGCGAACGAGTGCCATCACGCACTTATGCTTTCTTGATGACCTTATGATTTTACGTCGGGCGGATATGGATTCGGTTGGGATTGTGAGGAAGGCTGCGGATGACTTTTACGGAGTTATGCGGGTTGATAACTAACCACGAGAAAAGCCATGTTTTCTTATCGGGAGTGGATGATGAGCTAGGAGCTTCCCTTCGATCTCTCTTGGGTTTCGGTTTGGGCTCTCCACCGGTTAGGTATCTCGGAGTCCCTTTGATCTCCACTCGTTTGAAGCATAGTGATCTGCTTGCCTTTAGTTGAGCGGATTCTCTCTCGGATTAAGCTATGGACTTCGACCTCTCTCACGTATTCGGGCGCCTTCAGCTGATCAAATCTGTCCTCTTCTCTATCCGGGTATATTGGTCCTCTATGTTTATTCTTCCGTGCTCGATTATCGGGAGGATTGAGGGTATTTTAAGCTGCCTTTACGTGGAAGGGTTCCTCCCTTTCCCCTGCGGGGCTAAGGTAGCTTGGGCTTCGGTTTGTTACCCTCTTCGGGAGGGTGGTTTGGGGATTAAGCGGCTCGCGACTTGGAATAAAGCGAGCTACGCTAAAACATGTACGGCGTCTCCTCTCGGACGGATCTTACGTTTGG